TTGGTTAGGGGTTTATCTAGTTAAGTAAAGCCCTGGGTCCGGTCTGCTAGGTAGGGGCTCTCTAGGGGATGCCAGTGATCTCCAATACAAGGACCACGGGGCTGGGTGCCCACTCACCAGTATGGCAAAGAAGTCATTCAGCCTGACTGGCAGGGCCCCTGCTCTGAGGGACAGGGCTGGGGACACCTATAGGATTTCGTCTGTATCTGGCTAGACTCATGCAGGCGTGTAAGCCAGAGCTGGGGGCCTCAAGTCCATGTGTTATGTGGGTCTGCAGTATCACAATGACCAAAATTCATAGCATACCTTAGTCTCAAATCTGTGGCTCTCCAGGCGGCATTCTTCGCCGGTCTTTCCTGGAGGGAAGGCATGTGACTGACTGTCCTGTGCTCAGCACCAAGACTGCAGAGGAGTTGCATGTTGCATTCTGGGTGAATACAGCCAGATACTTTGGGTTCATTTTGAGTTTGATTTTAAATTACCTTTGAGTGCTTGTAGGTCCAAACACCCTTTGCTTTCACTATGTTTTTGTTTTGTTTTGTTTTTCGCCAAAATGAGTTATATGAGCCCATGTGGGGTCATTGTCCTCAGGTGAAGAAGCGGCTCTAAGCTGGATGTGGTGGCACCTGCATAAATGTGTTAAAAAAAATAGAAAAAAAATTTTTTAAAAGAAGAGGGACTGGAAAGAAGGCTCAGTAAGTAGTTAAGAGCACTTGCTGCTCTTGCGGAGGACCAGAGTTCAGTTTCCAGCATCCGCACCCGGCATCTCACAACCGCCAGGAACTCCAGTCCCGCTGCTCTTTTCAGGTCTCCACAGGTGTGGGCACTACACACAGTGGAGTAGAAAGCCGGGGTTATTGCAAACAGCCACACAAGGAGGCAGGCTGAGCTAATCTTCGTCTGAACAGCCTCTTCGGGGGAGCAGCTTTTAGGACATAACCATGGGGGAGGGGAAGAAAGCTATAGCGGATGTTTTCTGCACACACTATCGACAGTCACACTCAGCCCAGAGAGAGGCTTTACTGTCCCTCTGAGTCTTCTCCGGGAAAAGCTTTGCCAATCCCAAGGAGCAGAGGCTCTATGGTCCTTGACTCACCCACACCAAGTTACGCGTCAGCGATACACATTCACTCAGGAATTCACTTTCTCCTCGCAAAGGAGGAGGAGCGAGCCAGTGACCAAGTGCAAGTTCCCTTTATTAATTATGGGTATAACATTAATAGTAATTACTAATTTGCTTGCTTATTTTGAAGCAGGTGCTCACTATGTAGACTAGGCTATCTCTAAATCTCCAGAGAGTCTCCTGCTTCTGCCTGACTGAAGTTTCAGTTATTTTTCGAGGCAGGACCTTCTACTTGGAGCAGTCTAGCTTGTGGTACAAAATAAAGAAAATAAAAAAGTAAGTTGGGTATCATAGTGCAGACCTGTAATCACAGACTCAGGAGGTGAAGGCAGGAGAAACGAGTTCGGGGCAAGCCTGAGCTATCTGAGACTTTATATCTAAAACAAAAATATAAGAAAGGCTGAGGAAATGGCTCAGTTGGTAAAACATTTCCTGTGCAAGCATGAGCTGAGATTCCAGCATACATGTAACATGCCAGCGCTAGAGGAAGTGGAGCCAGCCTCGCCTAGCCTGCAAGTTCTGGGTTCAGTGAGTCAAAAAATAAGGTAGAGGGCAATGGAGGAAAATATCTGACATCTACCCGTGTTCTCTGCAGGGTTTACACACACACACACACACACACACACACACGAGTTAGAAGAAAATTCGTGGTGAGTTGTATTAGCTATTTTTCTATTGCTGTGATGAGACTTATTCTTTTTTAAAGATAGAAGTGTGGAGGCAGGAAGGCCGGTCCAATGAGGGGCAAAGGTCCCACAAAGGATAGTGGGAGCTGATCAGAGGTCTCGGCGAGTCCCCTGAGGCCTTGGTGGGTCACCTTGACAGGGCAGGTCGGCAGAGCAGCCTGGCCCACGAGGAGGAGCCACAGAGGGTGAGACTGACAGATACGTCATGCAGAGAGAGAGTTTGAATATAGAGTTTATTTAGTAGGTTATGTAGGGGAAAGAGAAAAGGGGAGATGGGGAAAAAGAGAGAGATGGGGGGAGCGAGCAGAAGTTAACACTTCGGGACGGAAATGGAAAGAGAGCATGCATGCTGGAGGAAGGGGGGGTTATCAGCTTCCCTCGGTGGAAGGGGAGGGCTCAGGAGAGGGTGGGGCTTGTCTCTGAAAGAGACAGGGTATCCAGGTGACAAGCCAGCAGATCATAACAGAGAAAACACAATCAAGGAAACTTATAGAAAGAATGGCTTATTTAGATTTACAGTTCTAGAATTTTTTTTGTGTTTGTTTTTTTAAAGATTTCTTTATTATGAACACAATGTTTCTCCTGCATGTACACTCCATGCCAGAAGAGGACACCAGATCTCATTACAGATGTTTGTGAGCACCATGTGGTTGCTGGGAATTGAACTCAGGTCCTCTGGCAGAGCAGCCAGTGTTTTTAACCTCTAAGTCATCTCTCTAGCCCCCGAGTTATAGAAGTTTTAAGGGTTCATGTTGGCAGTTGAGATCACCTCTTTGATCAGCAGCACACAGCCAAGAGAGAGCACTCGGAATGGCGAGTGGGCTGGAAACCTGTGATAGCTACTTTTTTATTTATGATAAGGAAGCATGACCAAGACGACTTACAAACAAGTTTATTTGGGGCTGACAGTTTCAGAGAGGCTGTTAAAATCTACTACTATCATGGTGGGGAGCATAGCAGTAGGCAGGCAGGCAAGGAGATGGAGGAGAAGCTGAGTGCACACATCTTAATTCATAAGCAAAAGGTAGAGAGAACTAACTGGAATAGCATGGGCTTTTGAAACCTCAGAGCTCCTTCCCAGTGAGACATCCTCTCCAACAAGGCCACACCTCCTAATTCTTCCCAAACAGTTTCACCAATGTAGGAAAGGCAATTTTTCAAGTATAGAAGCCTGTGAGGGCTATTCCTTCTGTTTTTTTTATTTTTCTCTTTCTTTCTTTCTTGATTGTTCTTCCTTCCTTCCTTCCTTTCTTTCTTTCTTTCTTTCTTTCTTTCTTGATTGTTTTTCAAAGCATGGTTTCTTTGTGTAACAGCCCTGACTGTCCTGGAACTTGTTCTGTAGACCATGCTGGCCTAGAGCTCATAGAGATTCACCTGCCTCTGCCTTCAGAATGCTGAGATTAAGGACGTGTGCCACCACACCCGGCTACACTGGTCTTATTCAAACTACCACATTTCATTCCAGGTCCCTATTGGCTTGTGGTCATGTCATAGTGCAAAATGCATTTAGTCCGACTTTTAAAGTCCCCATAGTCTTTCAGTCTCAATATAGCTTAAAAGTCCAAAGTCTCTTCTTAGACTTAAGGCAATCCCTTAGCTGTTGCTTGGCTGGAACTTCAGCTCAGTCCTGCTTGATCCAGAAAGCCCCATTCCTCTCTCTCCGAACCCCGCCCTCTCAGAGAATCTCCAACAAAGGGAAGGCACCAAAAAGCCCATGGTGACTGTAGCAGGTCCTCCTCTGAAGCTGCCATTAGCCCAAGCCCGCCCCTAACGTGCTCAGCTTTTGATCATACTTGGGTACAAACCCAGCTTGTGGTGGATACATCCTCACTCCTCACCTGTAGGGTATATAAACTTCCTGCTTTAGTTCGGGCATGTGACTTCTCCTGCCTCGATCTCTGGAACTGTAGGACTTACCCGGGAGTTGCTTTGCCCAAATAGACCTGTTTTTTAAATTTTTCAATACTGCTTAATCTGGCTTATTGTGTTGCAGAGAAACTGATGATCAAGATACAGAAAACCTACTAGTTGTAACCCCCTATAAAATCAAAGGTAAATTACATACTTTCAACATACAGTGGTACAGAATATACATTACCATCCTACAAGGGAGGAAAAGGGGCATACTAAGAGAAAACTGGACCAAAGCAAGACTGAAACCCAGCAGGGCAAATTCCAAATGTTTTGTGGGTTTTTTGTTTGTTTGTTTGTTTTCTGTTTTTTGAGATAGGGTTTCTCTGGGTAGCCCTGATTGTCCTGGAACTCATTTTGTAGACCAGGCTGGCCTCAAACTCAGAGATCCACCTACCTCTGCCTCCTGAGTGGTGGGATTAAAGGTATGCACCACCACTTGGCTAGAATGAGGTTTTGAAACCTCAAAGTCTATCCTCAATGACATGCCCCTCAACAAGGCCACATCTAATCCTTCCCAAACAGTTCCGCTAATTGAGGATTAAGTATTCAAATATAGAACCTAAGAAGACCATTCTTATTCAGACCACAACCCACCTCAAAGCCTATCCCCAAAGAAATATTTCCTCCACTAAGATCACATCCAGTAAACCTCTTCCAAGCAGTGCCGCCAACTGGGAATAAGTTTTCAAATTCCAGAGCTTTTGGGCAATATTTACATTCAAACTACCACAAAAATCCAACGTACGTGTACTAAATGACCAGAGAAATCCCTGTCTCTGAGGGTATACTTGTCCAAGTTATATCTTGCCTTGCCAGACTCAGGTGCTACCATCTCATAAGACTTGGTTACATGGTCACCCAATTCTGTGATGGATTTCACCTACTCATTTAGGGGATGAGTCTCTATGATGTCACACAGTGGATGTTCCTTTTGTCAGCAGTCAGTTTGCAACCACAATGGTGGCAAGCTTCTCATATCCCCCCCCCCCAATGTGGTGCACACTCCACTGCACACGGCAACTCTCCTGTGGGTCGTAGTCTGGTTTCTGGTTCTGTCATCTCACCAGTCTGAAGTATCTGCATGCTTCCTTTCCTTTAGACTGGTAAAATATTTGATAGGTAGGTGGTGGTGCCACACGCCTTTAATCCCAGCACTTGGGAGGCAGAGGCCAATCTCTGAGTCCAAGACCATCCTGGTCTACCAAGCAAATTCCAGGATGGCTAGGACTGTTAACACAGAGAAACCTGTGTCAAAACAAAACAAAACAAAACAAAACAACAAAAAAGAGAAGGAGAAGAAGAAGAGGAGGAAGAGGAGGAAGAAGAAGAAATATTCAAAAACTTCTCCGAAGCCACATTACTGGGATTCAAGCAATAAGCCCCAGAGACAGGAGGTGACTCCAGGTTGATATAGCAACTGATTGCAGCATCTCAGTACTGAGGGCAGTTCTGGTATGCCGGTGAAGAGGACTCTGTTGTCATGGTAACCGTTTGATGAACTGCGGCTAGTGTTGACAATTTGACAGGATCCAGATTCACCTGGGAGATGGGTGTGCCCGGGGGGGGGGGGGAGGTTTACCTTGATTACATTAATGGGCGGCGTGAATGGAGACTGCGAGGAGAAATGCAGCAACATGCATTGCTCTTTCCGAGCTGATGATGCAACACCTACCAGCTGCTTCAGGGACCCGATGCCTTGACTTCCCTGCCGTGATGGATGGCACCCTGAACTGTGAGCTACCATAAGCCCTCTCTCCCTCTCCCTCAGTTTGTTATTGTCAAAGTGTTTCTTTCTTTTTCGTTTTCTCTTTAATCACAGCAACAGGAAGAGAAACTAAGATGCGCGGCATGGTGCTGGGTGTTGCCGTGTTGGGGTAGTCCCAGGACGCTGGGAGGAGGTGGTGATGGTCTGCTGGTTCCGATCGGTCAGCTGGGATATGTATTTTCTGTTCAAGTGGTATTGAAACAGGATACCACAGGAAGTCCCTGTGAAGGTTTCTGAGACGGATGTCTTGTTATATAACCCAGGCTGGCCCTGAACCCAGCCTCTCAATTGCTGAAACTACTGGCCTGTGCCACTCCATGTGTAGCATTAGCCAGCCTGAAGCTGGCCAGGTAGACCAGGATGGCCTTAGACCATCTTCCCTCTTCCTTCTGAGTTTTGGGAATATGGTCTTGGCTCACCACTCTTAGTAGCACATCCTTCTTTTCCTCGCCCCCATCCCTGTTCCTCCTTGCATGCTTATGTGTGTGCATGTATGTGGAGGATACAAGTTAGTGCTAAGTATCTTCCTCAATTGCTCTCTGTTTACCAGTGAAGAATGATTTGGCAAACATCTTCAAAGTCATATTATTGGAATCCAGAAGTAAGAAACACACGCACACAGGGGGCGGGAGATGGATGGACATGGTGACTCTAGTCTGATTGGTAATTGATGGCAGCAGCTTCGTCTTGGGTTGGTCTTGGTCTGTCTGTCTTTCTCTCTCTCTCTTCCTCTCTCTGGCAGGATCTTTTAATGAACAAGAAGCTCTCCAATTCAGCTAGTAAGCTTGCCCCCATCTCTATCTCAGCAGCTTGAATGCTAGGATTGCAGGTAGGTCACCATGCCTGGAACCCCGTCCTCACACTCGGCCTTGTGTGCACTTCATCCATATAACCGTGTCCTCAGCAGCCTCTGCGCGGACTTCTTATATTGATGCTGAGAAGTAAATTACACGAAGTAGTGTGTGTTCGCTTAGCAATGTTTTGTTTTTGTTTGGGGGGCTGTGGGAGGTCTGGGGACGGAGCAAGGTTATAGACAGCATGCTCTGCCATTGAGCTACATTCCCAAGCCACAAGGAAATACTTCTTCTGCAGCAAATAAAGTGATAGAATGTTCCATCCATAATTCTAAACCATCGGTGAATGGCGAGGAAGCAGAATGGGTGATTGTGGAGTGCTGTCAGAGTACAGCATGGCCTTTCCCATCTCAGTCAATGTGTTGGTGATGACCTGTGTGAGACACCCAACGAGAGCAGACTGGCTGGCATTTCTTCATGGAAGGAAACGATAGACCCTCACCTGAGACTCCAACAGTCCCTCCTGTACTCCCTGACCAGAGGTGGGTAATTTTTGTTTTGTTTTGAGACAGGGTTTCTCTGTGTAGCCCTGGCTGTCCTAGAACTTGTTTTATAGACCAGGCTGGCCTTGAACTCACAGAGATCTGCCTGCCACTGTATCTTAAGTGCTGGCACTAAATGCATGTGTCATCAGGCCCAGCATCTTGTGTAATTCTATCCCAGCTGGACATGGTCTCAGAAGATGCCAGAGAAGTTGGGAGAGATGGTTCAGCAATAGAAGGTGCTCGCCACCAAGGTTGATACCCGAGGCTTAGGTTTCTTTTTCCTCTATGTGGAGGAAGTAGAGAATGGCCTCATAAGTTATTTTTTGACCTCGATGATGGCTCCCCCCACACACATACACGTATGCCTGCCCATGAGCACTTAGATAAATGAATGTACTTTTTCCTATAAGAAGGTGCTGGAATACATTTGAGGTAGGATGTCAACTAAAGAGAGATTTCTGTCTGGGTAGGTTTTGAAAGGTCACGTCTTTCATGCTGGACCAGGACTTTGCAGCAATTCAGCTCACCCACACTCCTTCGAGTAAGTTCTCACCCATGCTTCTGTAAGTCAACTCCATAAATCCGCTGGCCCACCAAACTCTACTTACATGGAGTCGCTGCTTTGAGCTGTCCTTGGCGCCTGTGTAGAGTGAGTAGATGTCTGCTCACTGCTCCATAGAAAAAGTTTTCTAAATAGTGGTTTATTAAGACACGTATGTGTATAGCTCACATCCCCCTCAGAGGCTTAGACCATATGTCATTAGGAAAGCATTTTAATGATGATAACAATCTATTCACATTTCAAGGATATTTCCTTTTTAAAAATTTTTTTTCCCGATGAATTGGCAGCGATATGCCAGATTTATCATCGATTCATCATATAGATTCATCATGACTATCGATGACATGTCAGTCGCAGGCGGGATTCTAACCCGCGACCCTTGCCACCGGCACACAGCGTTAGGTGCTCCTACCACTCTGAGCCACTGCTCGAGCTGGTTTTAAAAAAATTTTTTAAGATTTATTTATTTATTATGCATACAGTGTTCTGACTGTATATATGTTGGCAAGCCAGAAGAGGGCATAGATGGTTGTGAGTCACCATGTGGTTGCTGGGAATTGAACTCAGGACCTTTGGAAGAGCAGTCAGTGCTCTTACCTCTGAGCCACCATCTCTGCAGCCCTCAAGGATATTTTTAAAAAATATTTATTTGTTTGTTTATTATGTATACAGTATTCTTTCTTCAGTCCAGAAGAGGGCACCAGGCCTCATTACAGATGGTTGTGAGCCACCATATGGTTGCTGGGAATTGAAGTCAGGACCTTTGGAAGAGCAGGCAATGCTCTTAACCGCTGAGCCATCTCTCCAGCCCCCAAGGATATTTCTTTGTAATTAAATACAATGCAATTCATGATGTCCACATAAATATTTGTTTGTTTTGGGGGCAAAGTGTTACTGTGGAGCCCTGACTGGCCTGAGCTGCAAATGTAGACCAAGGTGGTCTTGAACTCACAGAGATCTGCCCTCCTTTGCCTCCCATGTACTGAAATCAAAGGTACATGCCACAAAGCCCAACACATTTAACATGGTTTGTTGGGCTAGGTGGTTCACACCTACAACCCCAGCATTTTAGAGGTGTGGGCAGGAGTATCAGACATTGAAAACCATCTTTGGCTGGGTCAGGGAGATGGTGACTCAGTGGGTAAAGCCAAGTGCCACCAAGTCTAACAACCTGAATTCGCCCCCCAGAATTTATTGGGTGAAAGGAGAGGCCTTCCATCTTTCAGAAAAGGAAGATCATCTTTGTCTACATAGCAAGTTCAAAGTCAGCCTGAGCTACAGAGTAAGAATCAGAGCAAAAAGCAGGCATAGTGACATTGCCATTAATCACAACACTGGGAAGGCAGATGCAGGTAGATCTTGGTGACTTTGAGGCCAACCTGATCTACAGAGTTCCAGGACAGTCAGAGCTACATAGGGAGATCCTTTCTCAAAACAAAACAAAACAAAACAAAACAGAAAATAAAATGAATAAAAACAAAAATAATAGCAAAGTATTTGTAAGAATGAGGACTGATATATGCCTACTGTGGAGGCTGAAGCAAGGGAAAAATAGGTTCAAAGCTAACCTCGGCTGAATATAAAGCAAATAATGCTTAGAGGGGGAGGATATGAAACACTTGCCCAGCATGTGCAAGGCCTAAGATTCAACCCCAGAACCACATGTACACACAAAAACTGAAGGCTTTTCTTTTTTCCTTTTTTAAAAAAAATTAATTTGTTTTTTGAGACATGGTTTCTCTATGTGTAGCTTTGTCGCCTGTCCTGAAACTCACTGTACAGACCAGGCTGACCTCAGACTCATAGAGATCCGCCTGCCTCTGCCTCCCAAGTGCTGGGATTAAAGGCGTGCACTACCACCACCAGGCTCCTGAAGGGTTTTCTAATCAAAATCATACATCAACAGGAGTAGATGAAAGCTATTGACGACAGAATGGCTAATTACATGATAGCATTTCTCCTACCTCCACAGAATGCTAAGCAGCCATTGCAGAAGAGACTCAGAAAGACAATGTTGCAACACAAATTGCTACACCTAGGATGCTATGTGAAAGAGCAGAACTGAAGATTCCAGCCTGTCCCGTGATTGTTCCACACATGCCTGGTCCCCAGGAGATAAGAGATGAGGTCACTATTTTTAGTTGTGTGTGTGTGTATGTGTGTGTGTGTGTGTTTGTACATATATGTATTTGACTTCTTACTTTTGGTTTTCTGAAAGAGGGTCTTATATACCCTAGGTTGGTCTTGAATTACTAACTGTCTTAGTTATAGTTTCTATTGCTGTGAAGAAAAACCATGATTATGGTCTCTTTTGAGGGGGCATCTAGAGACAAGATTTCTTTTTTAAAATTGATTTTATTGAGCTATACATTTTCCTCTGCTCCTTTCCCTGCCTCTCCCCTCTCCTTCATCCCTCTTCAAGCCCATGCTCCCAATTTACTCAGGAGATCCTGCTAGAGTCAAGATTTCTTTCTTTCTTTCTTTCTTTCTTTCTTTCTTTCTTTCTTTCTTTTTAAACTTTATTTAGTATACAGTGTTCTGCTTACATGTGTGCCTGCATGCCAGAAAAGGGCGCCAGATCTCATTACGGATGGTTGTGAGCCACAATGTGGGTGCTTGGAATTGAACTCAGGACCTCTGGAAGAGCAGTCAGTGCTCTTAACCACTGAGCCATCTCTCCAGCCTAGAGACAAGATTTCTATGTGTAACAGCCCTAGCTGTCCTGAAACTTGCTCTGTAGATCAGACTGACCTTGAGCTCACAGAGATCTGCCTGGCACTGCCTCCCAAGTGCTGGGATTAAAGGCATGACCCACCATTGCCCAGTGACCATGGCCACTCTTATAAAGGAAAACATTTAATTGGGGTGGTTTACAGTTTAGAGGTTTAGTTTATTACCATTACGGTGGGGAGCATGGCAGCGTACAGGCAGACATGGTTCTGGAGAAGGAGCTGCTACATGTTGATATACAGGTAACAGAAAGTAGATTATCACACTGGGCGGTGTCTTTAGTATAGGAGACCTCGAAGTTTACCCCACAGTGACACACGTCCTCCAACAAGGCCACACCTACTATACCTCCTAATAGTGCCACTACTCCCTGTGAGATTATAGGGACCAAGTACATTCAAACTACCACACAGACCATCCCGCCTCTGTCAGCTGAGTGCTAGTATTGTAAGTATACACCAAACTTGACTCTAATATGTGTGTGTGTGTTTAATTAAAATTTTAAATCAAGTCAGGTGGTGATGGCTCACACCTTTAAGCTCAGCACTTGGGAAGCAGAGGCAGGTGGATCTCTGTGAGCTCGAAGTCAGCCTGGTCTACAGAGAGAGTTCCAGGACAGGCTCCAAAGCTACAGAAAAACCCTGTCTCGAAAAACAAAAACAACAACAAAAAAACAAACACAAATTTAAATCAGATGTATTCATTTCATGTGTGTTTTTTGTCTGCATGTCTGTCTGTCTGTCTGTGTACCACATGCATGCATTGTTCTTAATGAGGGTGCTGGAATCTGAACTAGGATTTTTTTTCTGGCTTTCCCAGACAAGACAGGGCTTCTTTGTGTAACAGCCCTGACTGTCCTGGAACTTGTTTTGTATACTAGGGTGGCCTCAAACACATAGAGATCCACCTGCCTCTGCCTCCTGAGTGCTGGGATTAAAAGTGTGAGCCACTACTGCCCTGCGAACTATGGTCTTTCGCTAGTGTAGAAAGTGCTTGTAACCACTGACCCAACTCTTCAGCCCCTATCTAAGTTTTATTTAAAAACTCGGGAGCTGGAGAGATGTCTCAGTGTTTAAGAACACTGCTCTTTCAGAGGATCAAGGTATAATTCCCAGCACCCACATGGTGGCTCACAACCATCTGTAATAGGATCTGATGCCCTCTTCTGGCCTGCAGAGCACTCCAAATGAAGTTGAGTACTGTTCTTTCGAGGTCTTTTAATAATTTAAAAACAAACAAACAAAAAAAGAAATGATCTAAATATCATTAATACAGTATTTGTTTCAAAAATCTGGACAAAGAATGCCTTGTGTCTTTGGAGAAGGGCAGAGGCTGGTACAGAGCTCAGTGGTGAGCAGTTTCTTTGGTAATGGAGCTATAGGTTCAGTCCACAATGCCCCCAAAAGAAATAAAAATGATAAGACAGTCAAAATTTTAGGTGACACACACAAGCTTGCAAATCCAGCACTCAGGAAGTAGAGGCAGCAGGATCAGTAATTCAAGGTTATCTCTAGATACTTATTGAATTCAGGCCAGCCTGAGATGTGTGAAACCCTGCCTCCAAAAAACAACAAAGAAAACCTGTCTTGGTAGCACCTTCCTGTTCTCCCAGCACTGGACACTGAGGTAGGATTATCCCAAGATGGGGGCCAGCTTCATCTGTACAGTGATTTCTAGGCTAGCTGGGGCTACACAGCAAGACTCCCAAACACAAGGGACCAGAAACCTGTCTTAGTTGGCTCAGTCACTTGACTCCAATGGAAGCCGTCCAAATTCAATCCCTGAGAGCTGCATGGTGGAAGGTGAGAGCTGGCTAATACAGGCTGTCCTCTGGCCTGCACACAGAAACCACACACAAAATAAAATACATAAACCTAATAAAATCTCAACACTTGAAGTGATGGTTCAGGCCATTATACCATGGTACTTGGGAGGTAAAAGCAGTAAAATAAAAAGCTCCAGGTCATCTTTGGTGATATATAGGGGGTCAAGGCTAGCCTGTGTTGCAGGGGGCCACTTGTTTGTTTGTCCCGACTGCCTAGAACTGAAATAACCACATGGAAACTATATTCATTAAATCACTGCTTAGCTCATTAGCTCTAACTTCTTGTTGGCTAGCTCTTACATCTTAATTTAATTTATCTCTATTAATCTGTGTATCACCACGAGGTTGTGACCAACCAGTATAATTTCAGCACATCTACCTCTGTAGCACACCTACCTCCGACTACGGATCCATGGCGTCTCTCTGACTCTTTTCTCCTCCCAGCATTCAGTTCTGTCTTCCCCGCCTACCTAAGTTCTGCCCCATCAACAGGCCAAGGCAGTTTCTCTATTCATTAACCAATGAAAGCAACGCATAGACAGAAGGACCCCCCCACACACACACACCAAGCCTGGGCTAGGTGAAAGCCTGTTGAAAAACAAAAAAAGTTGAACCAGGTGGTGGTGGTGCACGCCTTTAATCCAAGCACTCGGGAGACAGAGACAGGTGGATCTCTGTGAGCTCGAGCTGCGGTCTACAAGAGCTAGTTCCAGGACAGCTAAGACTGTTAAAAAGAAAAATTTTGTCTTAAAAAACAAAACAAAATGTTGGGCACAATAGTATACTGTCTTAATTACTATTGCTACGATAAAACACCATGACCAAAAACAGCTTGGGGAGGAAAGGGTTTATTTGGCTTATACTTCAGTATTGTAGTACATCATTAAAGGCAATTAAGGACAGGAACTCAAACAGGGCAGGAACCTGGAAGCAGAAGCTGATGTAGAGGTCGTGGAGGAGTTTGCTGACTTGCTTCTCCTGCTTTCCTATATACTACCTGCTCAGGGATGGACCCACCCCACCCCACCCCACCCCATCCCCACTCCTACCCCCACCCACAGTGGGCTGGGTCATCCCCAATCAATCACTAATTAAGAAAATGTCCTATATGTTTGCCCACAGCCCAGTCTTAGGCATTTTTCAACTGAGGCTCCTTGCTCTCTGATGACTCTAACTTAGATCAAGTTGACATAAAATTAGCCAGCACATATAGCAAGGCCTCGCCTCACTGACTGCTTTTCCAGAGGACCAGGGTTCATTCCCTGCACCCACATGGCAGCTCACAATTATCTGTAACTCCAGTTCCAGGGGATCTGACACCCTCACACAGACATACATGTAGGCAAAATATCAATGCACATAAGACAAAAATTAATTATTAAAAAAGTTTTGTTTTTGTTTTTACAAAGGGGCTGGAGAGATGGCGCTGTACTTAAAAGTACTTATGGCTCTCCCAGAGGACCTAGTTCTGTTCACAACACCCACATGACAATTCACAACTGTCTTAGTTGGAGTTTTTATTGCTGTGAAGAGATGCCATGACCATGGCAACTCTTATAAGGAAAACATTCAGTTGCGGAGGCTTGCTTACAGTTCAGAGGTTCAGTCCATTATCATCATGGTGGGTGTAATGGTCTGTTCTGTCCCTTTTAGAGACAAGCCCCACCCTCTCCCTCTCCTGTCCTGAGGCAAGAAGATCTTCCTTCTGCTTACAGCCCGAGTCCTTCCTTTTCCATCTCTTTCCCGAAGAGGCAGCTTCTGCCTCTCTCCCTTCTCCCCTTCCTCCCTCTTCTCTCTCTCTCTCTCTCTCTCTCTCTCTCTCTCTGCCTCTCTTTCTCTGCTCTTCTCCCTTCTCCCCTCCCTCTTTCCCCTTCATAACCCACTAAATAAATACCCACTTCTCTGCATGGCACATTTCTGTCTCTCACTCACTGAGAGGCTCTCACCCACTGCATGGCTCCCTGCCTGGGACCTGGCTGCCTTCGTGGCCCACCATGGCTTCATGCCCTCCACCCACTCTGCCACTCCTCAGGGACCTGAATTGTTTTATTTTTACCCTAACAGTGGGGAGTATGGCAGAGTGCAGGCAGATGTGGTGCTGCAGGAATCCCTGAGAGTAGGAAGTAGGCTGACACGTGTGACAGTATCCTGAGCATAGGAAACCTCAAAGCCCACCCCCATAGTAACACACTTCCTCCAACAAGGCCATACTCACTCCAAAAGAGTCAAACCTCCTAATAGTGCCCTTTCTTATGAGATTATGGGGCCAATTACATTCAAACTACCACAACAAGCATCTGTGACTCCATTTTCAGGTGATCCTATGCTCTTTTCTGGCCTCCATGAGCACCAGGCACTCGCAAAGCACACAGACTTACATAACGGCAAAACACTAGTACACACACGCGCGCACACACACACACAAAATCTATGAAAATATCCTATTTTTATGTAAAATCAATTTTTAATTATTTTATTTGTATGTGTTTGAGAGTTTTACCTGTACTCTGTGAAGTACATGTGTGTCTGGTCATAGGCTGGAAGAGGACACAGATGGGGGTTATCGATGGTT